AAAAAAAACAAAAACAAACAAAAACAAAACAAAAAAACAAAGTAGTTGCCAACACGAAATATCGTGCTTACCTATTTTTTTCTCGCAAATAAACGGCTTTTCGTCACAGGCGGATAGCGCATCTTTGAAGATTCTCTCGGGATTTTTTGATAAAGCGGCGATCCCCATTGAAACATATGGTGATCTACCCCTGGGATATGTATGCGTCCATATGCGTTTGTCGAAAGAATTAGATGCACTGTTAACCCATTTCCACGACGTAAGAGGTTTCCTTGAAAGACCAATGAACCAATCGTCGTTTGCATGGCTGTGGTTGCCGGTGACTTTTTGTCGCCTGATTTCTTTAGTGATGTAGGCCCATTCACATTCTGTTTCTAGTGAAACTAAATCGCCTCCTAATTTTTTACATTGTTTTCTGTGAACATCATAATACTGTTCTCGATTTAGAAATGTATAACAAGAGGTATCATAGCAATACTTTCCATTGGATACTAGATAAAAAAATAAATAAAATACTGTTAGGGAAACGAAGGAGGCGTATCGTCAGTGCATCAGCAAATCGTTCCTCTCTATGGTATTCAAAGTCGTTGTATGTATAAATACAATCGCCAGACAAGCGCAAAAAATCGAATTTCTTTTTATTTCACCAATCAAAATCCTTTGGTGAAATATTTTCAAAAATAGCAATGAAACTTCCCGCCGAACCGAATTTTACTGTGCGGATACGCCCACTGGGACCACTATGATAAACTAGTATCATTAACCTATCATAATGCGACATTTARTTCAATATTTTGAACCGGCCAATCAGATAGCACATTGATATAATAAGATTATTCAATAGGTCCCGGTTGGTGTGTCTACAGTAATTCTTCAAAATCAAGTCGTCACGCTCGCTCATTAACCCAAAAACACGGACGATGTCAAATCTTAGACACAAGAAACCTTTATATTTCTTCTTTCCAAAACATTAGAAATATCACAGATATTTGGGTTTTTACTATTTGTCTTAGAAAAGTTTGGAAGCGATTACGCGAGAGTGTAAATTTTACCTAGTTTTAACTCCCCCTCCCCCTCCCCCTCCCCCCACTCAATTTTATTCTAAATATAGTGCTTATTTGTATGTGATTGTACAAATTAGCAATATATTTTGGCTAAAATGTGCTTCGCGTTTGCTTTTAGTATTAATGATGAGAAGCTTTGTGTGACATCAATAATAGTTTTCCAGTTAATTTAGCAATGCATAGTTCTTGGGATCCCTCGGTGGGTGACAAGGTAGAATCTATGTGTACCAAGCTGGATTCGATGACTTTCAAAATTGGTAAAATTTACATTCTCGCGTCATTGCTTCTACAGCATCCCGACGGCAAAGTGTTATTTAAAAAAATATCCCAAATATCGGTTTTTCCCGACTGTCTGGCGATTAATTCTCGGTATTTACAAACAACCAGTGCCAGAAATGCTATTAGTGCCAACAGTTTTAAAAGTATTATACGTAAATTAGATTTCGTGCCATTTATATATCGTTACATTTTTTTGTAGTATACATACATGTAATATGTTTTGCGGATTTATACTTTTTATTATCGTATCGTATCTCTTTTTAAAATTAAATTATTATAATGGAATTATTAATTTATCGTTAATAGTATTTTTTCTTAACTTTATGATTATGCATAGGGATTTTATATTTTTATATTCGCAAGTGTGTATTATAAACAAGTGTGTTAATTGATCCTAGGCGTTATAGTAAGTTGAGAAATAACTTAAATTATTATTATTATTATTATTATCATATGTTTATTTCAACTTCAGACATTTTTGCTACATGAACACAGAATATTGCGGCCATGAATAGTCTAAGCAATTATCTGCATGACTGATTTTACAAAGATGTATACAAATTTAACAATTGTACAGTACAGACGTTTCACTATTATTGTTATTAGCAATGTTATTATT